CAAACGAAAGCAAAAGAGAATAGGAAACACATGTCAAACAAAAAAAAAAAGCAGACCAGACAATAAAATACATCCATAATAAAGAACAGGTTTCAAACTTTTTTTTAAATGCGTCTTTCTATACAGCTGCACTCTCATAGAAATGCTTACGCAATTATTAAGATACCACGAACTTCTCCCATATAAAGCTTTCCTGTATCAATTTCAGTCTCAATGCTCGGATCATATAAAATATAGTCTTCATACTTGTGAGATCATATTTCATTCTTAAACAATTTTTTTTGAGTTTATTATATATGCTAAAATGTTTGTGAGCAGCTGAATATAACATTGTCGCATGATGTGTTTTTTTTTTGTAAGAGAAGGCATACCATGTAAGGAACTTCAACAAATTTAAGAGAATGAATTGAGATTCACAATACAGCAAGTAGTTAAATTATATTAAAGTGTTAGCAGATGGAGAATCGTTTTATATTTTAATTTGTTGCATCTTACCATTAGCCCTTACTCATTAGAGATGTGCTGTCCTTTTACTGCTAGTAGTTGCGGCCTTCGATATTAATTATCTGACAAATCGTTGTGGAGATACATTAAGTCTAGAAATATTTAAATTGTCAGATATGGTCTAGTTTGTTGCTCTGTGTAATTTGAATTTCTTAACGGAATACATAATGAGACATCATGAGAATGGACTAAGTATGTCTTATATGATACTTATGTTTATGTTTGATGATATATTCATTGGATGTAGATCTCTTAAGTTAATAAACTTCTTTGTGATATTTTATAAGAACATATTTGCTTTTATTTCAGTACAAATTTGTTATATTTGATTGTGTTGTTTGATATCAAGTCCTCCTGAACTGTCTTTGTTGTATATGCAATGATATCATGGAGGTAATGTTTATGGAATATTCTTGATTGAATCTTAAGCGAATGTATGAAGGAAAAAGTAAATTTAAAAAGGGTGAAACAGAATAAAAATAAAAAAGAAAAAAAAAGAAGAATAAAAAGAGAAAAACCAAAATAAATGAAACGAGCTTTAAATAAAGATATCAAAAGACATGTGCTGTCATGTTTTGTTTGGTTTTGTTTTATTTTATGTTTCTTTTGTCTTAAATTGAAGGGTGACATACTCACTAAAGTATTCAAAGTGGTACGTTTTCAAAATGGTAATTGTTTTGTGAAGAATTGCGGTGCATGATGTAAATATGTTGGTAGAATTAGACCAGCCTTGATCCCTCATTAATAAAACGATGAATTTTGGAACGAAAGAAATCAACGCTTTAAGATTTTTCTTAAACTGTAAGGTAAGATTTCGTATAAGTGTTCGAATGATACTAATTTGAATACCGTTAGTATGAAAAAGATTTGTCTCGCCCTTTAATTAATAAAAGAGCACAACATCTCAAAAATCAAAAAACACTTACACATATTGATAAAAGTGAAGCCGCCTGTAGATCTTTTCTTTGTGCGTACTCAAATTAAAGTCTAGTTTTGTTGTTATTGCTTCCGCGCTTCAAGGTAAACTGTTTAACCTCTGAAAGTTTGATGTTCTCGGTTTGTTCGTGCTGTTGGTTCAATATTCGCAAATTGAACGATAATTTCTCTTCTGGTTAACCCCTTTTGTGTAATTTCCTGTTGAATAAGTTCTCTAGCGGTGTATAACAGCTGTGCATAACTAATTTGTTGAGAGAGAAACTTATCAATCTTCCTAATGTAGGCCTCAAGGTTATTATCCTCTTAATCATTTTGGAAAACACTTCTAATCAATTCAAAATGAAGATTTGTAGCTAAGCCTGGATTTAGTGTATGAGTTTCAGCCAACTTCTCTTCTCCATTTTCCTGAGCTATCAAACCATCAACTCTATGGAATAAACGGTCGTTGTTGGTCATTGAATAAGTTCCACCTCACGAATCACCAGTACTGTTAGAACCTAAGGATGATAATGAAATAACAGGACTGGTTGTTCGAGAATATTTGGATGTGATTAGATCCAATAAGATATCCTTCATGTACTGTGGAGGTTCTTTGAATATGTCACCGAGTAAAACTTTGCCCCTGTCGCAACAAAAAGATGGTAGTTCTGCATCGATAAGGAGAGCATGGCACTAATCATGACACTATTCGAGCCCACCTGGATTATGAACCGAGTTCTGTGGTCTCTGATATTGGTGTTGGTCATAAACTGAATCACCACTCTCTTTAAAACCGTTGGTGTTATCATCGATGATGTGTTCAAAGCTGGGATCATAATCAAAAGCACCATCATGTCTAATTTCATCTAACGCTCTTTCTGCTACCTGTGCTGCTTTTCTTCACCTATCTCTTATTCTATCAGCCATAGTTCCATTATCAAGTTTAAGTTCAGGTTCAGGTTCAGGTAATGGCGGCTGTTGTGACAAGTCTACAATCCCTGCATGGGTATTCCGTAACAGAACTTGAAGGTTTCTATGCTCAGTATCTTGTTTTCGTAACAGGTCAGTTAGTCTGTCTCAATAATTTGTGGGTCCTCTTGTTATGTCGTATCTCCATTCGTTTGAAGTTGCCGCTGTGGTTCTGGATTAGCCGCTCATGTTTCTTCCTCAAGTTGAGGACGTCGTTAGAAGGTTCCATGAAGAGCCCTTGGGGTTTTCCTGGGACGTCCTCCAAGGTTTCCGCTTTCATTATTTGATGCTTTGTTTCTGACCAATATTCTGTTATCTTTCTAACTTTATGTATTTGTGTATAAAGTTGTATTGGTTTTGTGTCATTTTGTGTCATTTTTTGTTGATAAGAATTCAAAGTGTAAACAATGCCTATTAGAATTGGAAACATCCTTACATTTCTAAAATTGCTAAGGCAACGACAACGAGAATTATACATAAAAATAACAACATCCTAGGTTATTTCAGAAGAACCACCGATCCGAGCGGGCTGAAGGTTAGGATATTTGATTTTAGAGAGCATGTCTAGTGCCCAGTGGTATTAGAGTTTCCAATGTATCTTTTGTTGTTGAGATATAAGCAGTTTTATGCCTCTTTTCTAGTTATACCATACGAACTATGAAGGACTATATCTCAGGAAGGATTGAAGATTTCAAACTCATGCTTTGAATATCTCTTAATTCGGATAAAAGCTACATTGTGGTATACTCTGAGGAAATTTTAAGGTAATTTTGCTCCTTTAATTTGTATCATTTTAATAATGCTAACTAATTCTGATTGTGTCTGTATCAATTGTCGTTGGTGTTTTCTACTTTTCGCTGGCGATAGGTGCACATAATTACGAACATCCCCAAAGTAATGAATGCGCGCTTTTCAAAACAAGAAAATGCCAAAAAAATAAGGTGGAGGTTTCGTTGAGATACAAGCGTTCAAGAATCTGAGGCCTTCGTCACATCATCAATGCGAGAGTTTCTGGTTTTCTTGTTGACCCTCGGTTATGGTCTCGCCCAAATAAGTATCCAATTGGTCGCAAACTGGGAGAAATCCCCGTTTGAACTTCTACTTTTGTAAGTTTTGTCCTGTTGATTGCACGAACTTAAAGCTAACACGTACACGTAAACAGAGAAACAGTTTCTTCGGAGAACGAGTCATATTTCATACCTGCATTAAGCAAAGTTTCGAATGTTCTTTTTAACGAAGAAGATGATGATGAGGCGGATTTATCTGCAATTGATACAAGATCTGATGAAAAGTTGTTCAATGAAGTGTTCGACCTTCTAACACCAGAAGAACGTTCGCTTTATGAGATTCCACTCGCAACTAAGTATTACTCTCCGAGAATTGTTGCACATTATAAATACTACAATGAAACAATTCTTCCAAAGTTTTCAGATATCTTGCGAAAGAAGTGCGGAGAGATACCACAGACATGGCTGGAATTGAACGGCGTGGTCTACTGTGAACCAGATGATGTTTATGCATTGCAAATTGACAAAGAGGGAAATTTTGACCAGGAGCCATTTGACAGGGTGATCGGTGATAGGGGTCCTGTTCTTGCTCTGTATGGTACAGTAAGTGACCCTAAGTTCCCGCAATTCCTTTCTACCTTATATCAGAGCTCTCTGTCAGGAAAGCTGCGTTTTGTCTGGAGATACACCCCACAACCGCATACACAGAGAGAACTCTTAAGCGGTTATGGTGTGGATCTCACTCTAAAAAGGACCGATTATATTGTGATCGATGATAGAGAGCTTACTGGATCTGAGCCTCAAATTGTTCTGAAAGATGACAAGCTCTTAGATGACCAAACTGACACCTTTCTTGATACATATGATAACGATATTAAACCATTGGCCAAAGGGGAACTTTCTAGCCTGGATCTGAAAGCAGCCAGCTTTGTTTTGGACTCAAAATCTGCTTCAGATGCTTTCAATAGATTGCTTAAATTGACCCAAGATCTTCCCAAGTTTGCCTCTTATCTCTCTGATCAGGAAATTAACGAAGATATCTTTGCCCAAATGGAATACAACGAAAAGCTGGGAATAACGTCTTCAAGCACGGGTATTTTTCTCAATGGAGCTCCGCTAAATTCTGTGAGATCTAATATTTTTGATTTATACAAGCAACTCAAAACAGAGATGAAATTCATTGAACTTCTGAAGGAGTTGGATGTTGATCTTACTGACGCTAAAAATGTTATTGGAAAATTTGCATTACTATCGGCTTATGGATCTCAGTCTAGAGGAATCAAGAGATACAAAATTCCACAAGGTCTAGAAGGTGCTGTGGTATATTTGAATGACATTGAGAAAGATGAGGTTTATAGTGAATACTCAACTAATGTTGGTGATTTCCTGAAAAGATTTCAGTTTGGTGAAATACCTGATGTGAAGGCAAACTTACATTCTGCTATATTTGTCATGGAGTTGTCGAACAAAGAGGATGTTTCAAACTTTATTCATATCGTGGATAGTATAACTAGAGATCAGCTTTCACAACATATTGGTCTTGTACCACTGATCAAGTCTAAGGAGGACCGTTCGTTAGCAAACCAGCTATATAAAATTTACAGAACGGGAACCAGAGAAGATATTCTTGAGTTCTTGAAGTATTTGAAAAAAGAAGAGCATTATGATGACGTTGACTATGTTTCAACCTTGGTCGAGCCATTTGTTCAAAATTTTGATGTCAAGAGACCTTGTGTGATTGTTAATGGTGTGTTTTACGATCTTCATGGTAACTGGGCTTCTCTAATGTCAAGACAAGTGTTTGCGGATAACAACTTCATAGCTGGGATGGTGTATCAGAGAAGTGTTGCAACCCTGAAAGACATCAAGGAGAAACTATACGAAGACTCTTTGGAATCGCGCAACCTTCTACTTGTTCCTTCGAACGATGCAGATGTTTCACAAGTAATAATTACCCCAGAGTTTGTCAGACAATGTGAACATCAATTTTCCAATGTTGTCTTCACTTTCTCAGAGACTTCTCACGGAAGTATCACACCGACTCTCACTTTTGGTGCCAATTTTGGCTCGCTTTATGCTCTAGAACAGTTGTCTGAAATACTCAAATCTTTGGATGAGTCGAAAATTGCCCTGAGGGTCAGATTGGTTCACACTGGTGCTGACGTTTCATTTATTGGAAAACTCAGACAAGCCTCCCACGCTTCGTTGAAACATCTTTCTGAGACTGTTAACAGCATCATCAATGAACACCAATTCAACAACGATGAAGAACCACTCTCATCAACTAAATACTTACTTGACTCTATTGGTGTGGATTCCCAGTCATTCATACTCCTCAATGGACGTTATATTGATTTGAAGGGGACAATTGCCAGAGCAGAGTCATTGAAGAGTTTTTATGAATATGAAATGACTACAAGGCTCAAAAACGCTATCAACCTGATAAACACCATTGAAATAGAAAAAGATGGTGATATCTCCGATTGGTTTGAAAGTTTTTCTAGTGTCCTTAGTGCTTCTTATTTTAATGGAGAGAACCGCATCACGAGATTTGACTTTTCAAGACTCCAAACGGATCCATCAATCAAGTTTGGAGACAAAAAAGAAAGTTTAGTGAATATTTTGGCCGTTTTTGACCCTATAAATGAATACACACAAAAACTGTTGCCTCTTGTTGGTGCAGTGAAAGATCTTCCATTCGTTTCTGTTGATATTGTTTTAGTTCCACAGGAGGATCTAGCCGAATTGGGAATAAAACGCTTCTATAGGGGAAACATCCCTAAGGGTGTTTCTTTCAAAAATGGGTCTTTTGTTGAAGATTCTGTTGTAACCTTCAACAACGTTCCTGAAGATACACTTTTCACTCTGGATATGGATGTTCATCCTTCGTGGATTGTAATGGCAAAAGAAGGAGCTACAGATCTTGATAATGTCTTACTAAAAAAAACAGGAACTGTTACTGGAATTTATGAACTGGAAAACATTATCATAGAAGGAAACTTGTTTGATTATACAAACGAAGAACCACCAGCTGGACTTTCTGTTAGCGTTCCTGGGTCTGATACAAATGTGATGATGGCAGAGGGTTACTTCCAACTGAAGGCCAATCCTGGTTTATGGGAGCTATCTTTGATGGATGGTAATTCACGAACTCTTTACACTTTTGTTGATCCAAATACCAAAGCCCCAGTTTCCAATGTTGATGTTGATATTTTAACTATTGATGGGGTGAAGATTCGTCCACAAGTGAAGAAGAACCCCGGAAAGGAGTCTATTTCACTGAATGATCTTGTCACAGGTGAGGAGTCGAAAGGTGGGATCCTGTCTTCTTGGTTCGGTGGAAAACATACTACTGGGAAGCACGCAGATATCAACATATTCACTGTTGCTTCAGGGCACCTCTATGAAAGATTATTGAGTATAATGACGGTATCCGTTATGCGTCATACGAAGCATACCGTAAAGTTTTGGCTCATTGATAACTATATGTCCCCAACCTTTAGGGAGTTTTTGCCTTACCTCGCTGAACAATATGGATTTGAATATGAATTAATCACCTATAAATGGCCATCTTGGTTAAGAGGTCAACGTGAAAAGCAAAGAACCATTTGGGGTTACAAGATCCTATTTTTGGATGTTTTATTCCCACAAAGCTTGGACAAAGTTATATTCATTGATGCTGATCAAATCGTCCGTACCGACATGAACGAGCTTGTTACCCTTGACTTAGAGGGGGCACCATATGGATACACACCTATGGGTGACTCTAGAAAAGAGATGGAGGGTTTTAGATTCTGGAAGCACGGTTACTGGGAGAAACTACTCGGGGACGATTTAAAATATCACATCAGTGCGTTATATGTGATCGACTTGAAAAAATTCAGAAGCATCTATGCAGGCGATATCTTGAGACAACAGTATCAAATACTTTCAGCTGATCCTGAATCACTCTCTAACCTCGATCAAGACCTTCCAAACAGTTTGCAGAGAACCCTTAAGATTTTCTCCTTGCCACAAGACTGGTTGTGGTGTGAAACATGGTGTGACGATGCAAGTTTGAAAACCGCCAGAACGATTGATCTTTGTAATAATCCATTAACCAAAGAACCAAAGCTCGACAGAGCACGTCGTCAAATTCCAGAATGGACCGTTTATGATGATGAAATATCCGCGTTGAGGGAAAGTGCTTTTAAGAGAAACTTCGAAGCACAACTCTTAGAGGTTAGCTCGAGACAAATTGGTTCAGACCCCGCACCAATTGAAGTTCATGATGAATTGTGATAATCCATGCAACTCTGTCGTACATAGTTATATGGAATAAAAAAGTACTGTTATCAAGGGATATGTCTATATATAAATGCCATATGTAAACGTTCTTTATTGTCTTCATAGTAGAATCAAACAGTTTGAGTCATGAGTCATGAGTCATAGTGACATTGGCCTGATCTGGTGATTTTGCTCCGCGGATTGGGTGTGAAAAATTAAGACCGACATTTAGGAATTGTGTATGCCAAAGAACTGTTAAAGTATAGACTCTCTCCCCCCTCGAACACAGTCTATTTGAAAGAATGCTGGGATTGAACTCTTGTATTAGAACGAGGAGTCTCATAGAAGTTTCTAGCATTGGTGCACAAGCTAGGTATTTGGCTTCTAGCTCTAGCAACGGGTCGACATCAGCACCTACAAATTCACCTATCCCTGCACCAAAGATCAATGCTGATCCTACTGCGAAGATCATTAGGGATATCCAAAAGTCCATGGTGAAAGTTCCGCCACCTAGGAAACTGAAGAATTATTTGGATGGATATATTATTGGACAAGAGACCGGTAAGAAAGTGATGTCAGTTGCTGTTTATAACCATTATCTTAGGATCAACGACAAAGCTAGAAAACTGGCAAAGAAAATCAAAGATGAACAACGAAGAGAGGACGATAAGATGTACACTTTGAGTAACAATGTGAGTCCATCAAACAAATCTCCAGAGGAGATAACTTTCGATTTGGATTTGGAAGATGAGGATTTGGAACTCAGTAAGTCAAACATCTTGCTGTTGGGACCTTCAGGTTCAGGAAAGACCTTAATTGCCAAAACTCTTGCTCGAGTACTAAATGTCCCCTTCTCGATAACAGATTGTACTCAACTCACGCAAGCGGGATACATTGGTGAAGATGTTGAGTTATGTATCGAAAGGCTCCTGGTTAATGCAGAATATAACGTTGATAGGGCGGAGAGAGGGATTGTCGTTTTGGACGAGGTTGATAAACTTGCAAAGACCTCTAACAACAGTGGAACAAAAGACGTTTCAGGTGAAGGTGTTCAGCAGGCTTTACTGAAATTGATCGAGGGTACTACAGTTCAAGTCCAAGTGAAGAAGCCAGTGAACAAAGACAAAGACTCTAACAACAACACCACCGTGGCAAAGAAGACAGAAACGTATCACATTGATACTAGTAATATACTCTTTGTGTTGATGGGTGCATTTGTTGGATTGGATAGGCATGTTGCTAAGCGTATCGTTGACAACGAGTTAGGCGCTATTGAGGAGGATCCTGTGCATCACAATGCAATGTCAAAGATCAAACTAGATGATGATCGAGTTGTTGGCTCCTTGACATTGGTTACACCCCAGGATCTCAATTCTTATGGGATGATTCCCGAACTTATAGGAAGAGTTCCCATCATAACAAGCCTCGATTCCCTTGGAGAGACGGACTTGTTGTCGATTTTGACGAAGCCGAAGAACGCAGTGTTGACGCAATACCAGTACATCTTTGAACAATTCGGGGTGAAACTCGTGGTTACTAACGATGCGTTATTGAAGATCTCAGAGCTTGCCCTGAAAGAGGGAACTGGTGCGCGTGGATTGAGAGGTATAATGGAGAGGCTCTTGATGAACGTGAACTACGAGTGCCCTGATAGTGGCATCAAATATGTGCTGGTAAACTCCGACACTGTTGACACAATAGGCTCTGGCAATGTCACGGCAAAGTATTACGGAGATGAGGACTTGACCAGCTTAGTAGAAGATGTACTTGCTGAGGATGCCGTCCTGGGAGACAAATTACAAGCTGATTATGGTATTGAGATAAATAGCAAGATGGTTGGTAGATCGCCATGATACGTATCGTTGTATATATCTTTCGAGAATATTTATCAAAGGATCATTTTCCCCGGGAAGTTTTTTAAATTTTCCATTTACCCCGTTCACTTTTTTTTGTTTCAGGTCTTGGGCCGGGTTGATTGGGACCAAGGCAGGATTCGGCCGGTTTTTCTTGTTAGCAGCTTTCGAATTGATAAGTAAGCAGATGTGAATTGTCTTAAAATCGTGAACCAATCTCAAGGTAAACAGTGTACGTGCTACTACTACTCAACTACGGTATCCTCCAGAGGTATTTGGATTCTTCCAAGCCCTCTAATTCCGGTATTTTGAACAGCAAATTGGGGAGCGGGTTGCGCAATAAACACTGAGGGTTCCCGGCCGGTAAACAGTCACCAGCGAACAGAAGAATATCACTCATATACATTGAAATATATTTGGTAGCCGTGATATTTAGCCCGGTGTATTTTTACACATTGGACCTATTTGCTGTAGAAAATGGTGGCTCCATTTGTTGTTCCCAATTCCAAAGAACAAAATCTCTATTTTTTCCTCGCCTTTTGAGGGGGAGGAAGGGGAGCCACGGCTGGGGTCACACAGCGGCCATAATTTTCAGCTTTGATCACTTTTGTAATTATCTGCCTCCTCCTTTGTTGTTGTTCTTGTATGTACCAGGGGTTATATTTGTATTTAATACTTCACCATTAGTCTCATCGTCTCTACATTCCAATACTTTGCGTTGGAAAGGTCACAAGGGAGACATCATCACAAAGATCAGTCTGAGAAGTGTTTGTTAGTTAGCTTTAAGAGAGTGGTGGACAAGCATTTATAGGGATCAAGATGGACAGTGCACCGAGTACGCGGTCTATCTCTATGCTTGGCGGGCTACGGAGGCCCCATACAGTCCACCGGTTTTCCATGTCGTCACGGACTGAAAGTTCTGCGGACATCGACAGTACATTCCACACAGACACAGAGGATGATGCTGCTTCGATCACGTCAGACGTTTCTACCCTCAGCAAGTTCACTCTAAGAGGTAGTTCTAGCAGCTCAAGCCCCGGCAGGAAACACCACATTTCGAGTTTTGTCTCTGGTCGAATGTCGATGACCTCTATGGATACGCCACAACCAAGACGAACCTTAAGGAGTCATACTGACGATATCAGGGAGAGTTACAGAAGAGGATCTGAGAGATGGTTTT